CACAAAGACAGAGTGTAACAAGCAGGCTGTTCACATATTTTATTCACATATTTGGAAGCATAGCCATAGTAAATCTGCCCTTAAGGTCCAACATCACGGTTGGGGTGAGTTGCATAACAATTTAATGTCTTCTTAGAAAATAAACTCAAAGTAGAAATGGTGTTGAAAACCTAAATACTTTTCTGGTGGAGGGTCTGCTACCTACTTGTCTCCATGTAGATGTTATTGCTTTGCCTGAAATATTCCATGGTATGACATCAAACATATCCATATAGCATTTATTCATTATGGGAGTTTCTATTGCACAAATATACCATAATTCCTTCTGTGAATACGGGCGCCTCTCCACAGATCTGAACTGTAATGTAGCGTAGTGCTGTAACCTGCTTGTCTCCCCAGCAATAGATATGTTTAATTTATACTGTGGAACATTCTAGACAAAACAATTACATCTCCATGGAAACAAATAGGTGGCAGACCCTCCACTAGAAATGTCATGCAATGCACCTTTAATTAGAGGTCACTTTACAAAAAAACCCCACAAATTATAACTTAAGATAATATTATTAATTGTAGTTTCCAGAGCATAAGTTTCTAATTTGTACATTTCTATTCAATAGTTTATTTAATTGGTGAAGACCTTATAGTGGTGTCATTTTGCTATGCTACAGAGGACAGAAAATGTAAGGATTTGATATAGGCTCATTGTTTACATTTTCTTCTATTCTATTATTATAATTATAACAATGAAAAGGAACAAAATAGTTTCCAACAAAGTTATCCTAGTTAAAAGTCCATATTTTTTCATACTATCCAACATTTTGCACAGTACTTTAAGGGTCACTAAACAAACAAAATGCTGCTCTACAATGAAGACCACATGGTACTGTTATCCAGTCGTTAAAACTCCCACACAGACAAAATGGCACAGGGGACCAAAATATCTGGGTTTGCAGAATGTCCAAGATGCTGCTGCTTCTTCTACAACCTCCAAAGGAATTTCAAGCAACAACAGTACATTATGGCACTGCTATAAAACCAAATGGTCCAGGGAAACACTTACACGATGTATAGACAGCTCCATAAAGGGCCATTTTAAAAGTGTAGTTTAAAAGTTGTGTTTATGAGTCAGTGGGTACATTTACAGGGCCAGTAAAAATCAGATAAACCAGTAATTATATCTAATTTTGGGTGTGTGTTTACCTGCACACAAGAATCTGTTAATCAAATACACTGTGTGGCATGGGTCAGTTAATCAGTGGATTTTTTGAGTAATTTGAGTATCAGATTTTTTGGATTAGTAAATTGTTAAAATGACACGTAAACAGCAAAATCATCAGATTTCTTTGTGATCATGGTCCTTCTAAATACTTACAAAAGATTTTGTGTTTTTTAAGTTATTTAATCATCTTAAAAGTTAAGAATTAAATAACAATCAGATTTTGGTATGCATGTAAACTTAACTTTTGTGTCAGAAAGAAATCTGATTACTCACTTTAGATGTAACACACATCTCATCACATCACATTTCCTTAATCTGATCACTCTAGTAATCGGATATTGGTCAATTTAGTGCGCAAAAACCTGTGGTTTTCAGATAGTAACAGTGAAATTTATTTACTACTTACGAACTATGTCGAAAGACTGGCAAGTTTTACTGTATATTCCACAATTCCAATTCCATGTTATGCATATTTAGCCATTATAATGTGCAGGCCAGTTTCTGGACCATTTATTAATTTGATGGGAACAGAAATGCATTATGGCTCATATAACCCCATTACAGTTACAGTGGAAATGGCTAATCTAATTTACGTTCACTACAAAAAGGCATTTCTTCAGTTTTACAAATGTGTTTTCTATTTTTTGTTTTTCTATCTATAAAATTCCCCATGGCTCATATAGCACACTTTTGCCTTAATTAAATTGGTCTAAATGTGGAGGAGAGTATGCTTAGTGCCAGAGGAACATTTTGTACATAATTATAGGTCTACTGTACATAAGTGTTCAGCCTTCGTTCCCAGATTCCCTTTAAATTTGAACAAGCAACTGCTCTCTTGTGTTCCTGGCTAAAAGGGGGAAAGATTTCAGCATATTTTTAATGTTACGTTGTTGGAGGTTGACCTTTAACTGTCAGCATTCTGGAAAAGTTTAACACCTTTATTGGGAAACTACAAAAAGGACTCCAGTGAACATGTTTTTCAGAGCTATAACTATTACTAAAAAGGGTGAAAGTGAGCAGAAAAAAAGAACCTTTTTAGAATTGTAAGACTTCTCTTAATAAAAACAAGTCAAGTGACTACCAGAACAGCACTGACCCCTGCTGATGGCCATAGGATATTACATGATGGCTAATATATTCTGTGCGAAGTTTTCATTGCAATACACTGTTGTAGTAGGCTGCTGCTTAATGTGGTCACACTAGATTTCTTTTTTTCTCTTGTTTCAACACATAATTTTCTTAAATGTTGAGTGGTTTGCATTTGCTTTGAACTTGTATTATGTGTGATTAATTAGTTAGCATCTGATGGAAGGTTTTCCACCTACTTGTCTTCATGGAGATACCATTGCTTTGTTTTGTAATGTTCCACTGCATGGCGTTAAAAGTATCTATCTCATAGACTAGAGAAAAGCAAGTGACTAGCAGGCCAGACCTGTAGAGGGGTGACTCCACTCACAGTATTTCAGGGTAATGTTAAAAAATCAAGTCCAGGTCAAAAACTAACCAAAGCTGTACCCAGCTGTAAATATTTTATTGTGTGTGTATATGTGTTTGAATGTGGGTGTGTCTGAAATGTGAAACTGCATGTAAAAAATGTGTTTAATGATTGTGTTTTTAAACTGTTTTATACTGTTTAGTGTAAAAAAGCTCATCTAGATACAAGAGTCGAGAAATTAGCTCTAGCTACTAACTCTGTGTGTCGCATCAGATCTGCCTGTGACTATCCATGTATGACAGCACTGTCCCTGTCAAATATATAAGTAAAACAATAAAAAACACCTGTAATTCAATAAAAAGCAAGATAAATATGTTTAATATTATGCTGTGGTACACTGAAGGCAAAGAAATAAAATGAAGACAAGCAGAGTTTTATATACCATACTCCAAAAAAGTTACTGTATATTTTATACTATGGATCTTTGGCATTGTTTGAATCCTGATAGTGTCCTTTCTGATTCAGGTGTTTCTATTTACATAAAGCATAAAGAAACGGCATGGTTATCTTACCTCTATTTACTCCCACAGTTCTGCTCTGTTCAATCCCTTTATGTCCCTCTGTCATAAGCACTGCCAGCCATGCATGAATTCACTTATCCTACCAGTGCAGCCTGGCCTCAGGTGGGACCTGCTGGACGAGGAAACGGTTCTCTGTGGGGATCTGGACTCGTGTCATGGCACCTGATGTTACCGTCAGCTCACACACGGCACTCACTGGAGCCCGCAGCCAAAAACCTGGGCAGAAATATGCTAAAGACCTGGACAGAGTTACCTTTCCTCACCACATTAAGACAGCAAGATGAATAATTTGTTTTCCTGGTTAACTGTCTTAGAGAGTTTTAACCACATACAATATTATATGCAGTGATTATTTATTTATTTATTTATTTACTGAGACAGGGACAGTGGACAATTTACATTAACTACTTTGTACTATGTAATGTATTCTGATACATGGGCCTATCAGAGTACTGTATTCTGAATACTAAAGAATACTTTTTACACAGAGCATTTAAATTGCTTTTAAATTAGCGTCAAAACGCAATATAATACATTCTCAGTGCATGTATTCAGTTACTTGCCAACATTGATTATATCTTGCCTTTGTAAATGTGAAAGTTGTGCTGCTCAAAATAGAAAGGAAAAGCCTTGCAGTATCACAGGTGACTATATCAGTATTGGACAAAGGAGGAGAGTAAGTTCTATTCAAGCACATTTTACTGATACTGTATTAAGCTTCTTGTTCTAAAAATTATAAACATTACAAATATGTTTCATTAAAAATTACTTAAATATATATCCTGAACAATGTAAGTGATTTATAACCTCTGTGGTTTGATGTGATGCAGGCTACTATATTCAGATTGGTACAATAGTAGTAGCTGAGTGGGCGAATTTTGCCATTTCTGGTACAAAGATTGCACTGAATTTCTTTTGATTTGTCCACAAAGTGATATATAGTCCTCATTCAGAATACAACTTTTGATCATTTTGACTGGGGTGAGATGTGGCTCAACTATGTGTTTGTTGTGTGTGGTATTAATGTTACCCCCACACCCCCACCTTTCTGTATAAAAATAAAACTCAATAAAAAGTCTAATCTTGACAAATTAACTCTGATCTACAAAGCTAAAAATATGAACCTTATTGTTCTCTGTCTCTGGGGTTTTACACAGTGATCAGTGAGAAGTTTCCTGGAGGAAGAGTAACTTTAAAGATGCTGACTCCGTTTCAACTCTTCAAAGTGTCTTCTGAAGGGATTAAGGGAAAATGCAATGTTAATAACCCTTCTTCTCCTGCTTACTGTGTGTTTACTATTCAGCCAATCGCATATTCCCATAACACAGATGAATTTAAAATGGTATGCACTATCTGAAATCTTAAAAGACAGTAGACATATACTTTACTAGATTTAGCAAGTTACTAGAGGCTAATTCATAGAAATAACTGACCTATTAAATTTATGGAAAACTTAATGTTTCTCAATGCAATGTTTTAGCAAATAGCAGAATGAAGTGCTAGAAGTAGAGTATTCTTGACACTCAGTAGGCCTGTTTGATGTAAGTGGCAGTAGTACTTTATTATATTGTAATGAGTAAGGTATTGTGTCCAGGTAATTTCCCTTGAGGGTGAATAAAGTCTGTATCTATCAACATTTTTCAACATATTTCAAAAGGCGTTTTCTGTTGCGGTTCTTAGACTCTCCTGCAGGGGGCAATAAAGCCACCCGTTTATTCTTCCCATAGTCAGAGAAAATCAAAACAAAACTTCAGTAAAGTGCCTACAATTATTAGCGATCTTGTGAATCCGCTCTTGACGTGATTGCGGCTGAATAATGTCTGACATTGAAGTGGACTCTTAAAACTGGGGCTCCATCCAAATTCACACCAGGAAGGCTTAGATGCGTGGTGTTACTCGTAAGTGCTACATGAAATATTCAATAGGCGCATTTTTCATTAGATATTCGCTTCAGGTGCAAGTAGAGACAGAGGCTAGGACAAAGCTTCCTTTCGCATTGAAAAGATTGAAAAGTAAACGTGCGTATGGATGTCTTTGATGATGCTAATAATGTGTATGTTACCTTTGTGCGCGCACTGCAACAGCTCGACTACAAAAGGCTGTCGTCTCTCTTTTACTGAGCCAAAGGGGACAGAGGGAATATTTAATCTGAAAAATAATGCACGGTAATAATTTATATAGAGAATCCTCTCAGGGGACATGCCAACCCTCACACTGTAATCAATCTCCAAGCTTAATTGAGTTGGCATTACCCATCATCATCACGTTGCACTGTGGGGTGGGTAACACGTGGCTTTCATGGCTACTTGGTAAATAATCTGCCACCTGGCTGTCTCCATGGGGATATTATTGCTTTACCAAGAATATTTCACAGTGACAAGATATTAAAATGATCTGTTAGGCAATCATTTATTCCTTGCTTCAAAAACAAAAACAAAAAACAAAAACATGCTTTCTAACTGGGCATAGAACTGATTTGACCAGTAACCTGACCTTATGGCGTTATTTGCTTGTCTTCATAGACAGAGACACCCTTAATACTTCAATGTCAAATTTCAGGCAAAGCAATAACATCTCTGAAGAACCAAGCAGATTGCAGACACTCCACCTATTATTGTACCTTTTTACGTTGATCTTACTATACTCACAGTACTGTAATATTTTGGAACCATTGGAAATATTAGATAGATGTAAATATCTTAAATTACAACAAAGATGTAAAGAATTAGTTGTAGCTTTTGTTGCTTTATAGTTGGTACTTTCTTTTCTACCTAAATGTTAAGAAATAAAGTAAGATATTTAGAGTAATGCTTTCATGTTTAGAGAAACTGACACTAGCAGCACCCACAGGCAACGTAACCTCCCCTGTAAAACACTGACGGGAAAATATATTTTCCAGCCAGGCTGCAAATAATACCTAGATAAACAGTTTTTATTTGTTGCTGTTTCTAGGCACAGCAGAAGCTTCAGAAAAGACGGGAGAAGTGTGTCATCTCTGCTTATCGACTGAGGAAAGCAGGTCAGGCGGATTCACAGCAAGTTTCTCACCATGTGACAGGTGACATAAAGTATGTGGGCAGATTACAGTGAATCTCTCCAATACAGATTCACTCAGGGGTAGAGAAACAGACGCTGAAGCCTTGAGAAGATTTATGAACTTGGAGATAGTGAAGACAGGGCAACCAATCAAAGGGTAGCAGTTTAAATGGGTTTAGATCAGGTATAAGTCTGATTTAAAGACATCTGCTGTACTTTGAGAGAGAGTGGAGATGTGGGTCTGTTGTGTGGGATTGTGGCACTGATGGCAAATTGCTAGCCTGTGGAGCATGCCCCTTTAATATAAGAGGGTGTGAAGCCTAATAGCTAATCACTGAACTGCCTCAGGTTTATGGACAACCAATCTCTACCGTTTATCTGTAACTTGTGACTCAAATGTGAAAGCCAGCTCCTCTCAAAAATCCACATACCATTCAGAGGAAACTTTTAACAAACTTTTTAATTTATTTTAGAAGAAGACAGTTTGTAAAAAGCACCTAATCTTAGTTTCCTCTTAGATTCTCCGTCCTCTGATTAAAAGTGTTTGGTACTGTTGATTCAAGCTTATTAACGGTTTGTTAGTTTTTTTGTTTGATATCTTCATCCTCTTTCAGAAAAAGAAAATTCTAGCATAGGCTGCCTTGTTTGTTTTGGTGCAATACAACATTCAGTTCTTTGATTTGTCACCGCCCATTGGCTCTGAGAATAGAGACTTTTTGTATAATGTGTAGTGATACTTTGCTGCTCATTAACATTCTCTGGGGATGTGTTGCTAACTGTAGGCTCTAGTCTGTCTGGGACTATATTAGACTTCACTCTGAGCTTTATTTTAATACAATCTGACCCAAAATAACTGCCTTAGCTGGAACTACAACAACTGAGCTGATTTATGATGTTGAACAAGTCCCTTTTGCATAACATTACAGTCACAGGCCATCACAAGACCATGAATGCTTGTATTGATCACAGGCTCCTGAAAATGTGCTGTTCAGTTTTGTAGTTTTTGAGTATTCAGACCCTTTGCGACAGTGTTTACTAACGTGTGCATTGTGTCACTGAAGGTAACTCCTAAATATTCCACCATTAGAAATACATGTAGAACACCCCCAGTGTAATTTCTCTGCAATGTATCAATGCAAAGTTGGATAGACAGTCATATTGCATTACAGTCTGTCATTTTTCTGTATCCTGTTCTGTGGTATAGATCTTTTAACATCTAATGTCTTTTTATCTAAGATAATATAATGCAGTTCCACCACAAATTTCAGCAACAAGCGTGATAGTGTAAATAATTCATGATTAATTTGCTAAGTGGGTTGGATAAGATAGCCTGCCACACACAAACTGTTGAAAGTAGTTATTATCGACATCTCATTGTTTGTAGCTCTAAGGGGAAGGGAGGCTGGCTGTCAGAAGAAAAGCTTGATAATTTGTTTTGTCTTGTATTTTCGGAACTAGCTATTTTCTGCTCAAGACTGGTGTCAGCAATGTTAATAACATTTTTACTTATTTTTACCACTACACTGTGTTTGTTTTCTAAATCAAGAGAAAACATGTGTTATCCCAAAGTAATAGTTTTTTCCTCTGCTTCTGTAAATAAACTAATAGAGACCATTTTTGTTATAATATTATCAGGCATTTTAGTGGATTGCAAGCAGTGCGAGAGCTAAAATATATTGCTGGACCAACTGAAAAGAAAATATGGATCTAGGATGTTGTTTTTTGAGTGTTTCTAGCTATACAAAAATTCTTGCAGGCTTCCATTGATCTGCTCTTGTTACAGGTTAGGTTCACATGTGTAGTTCATGACGTTGTATTGTTGTGACACGTTCTGGCTGGGTTCCTATCAGCAGCATGATTGACTGTGATCTGCAGGGACTGGCCAATCTCTCAGTGTGAGTAACACCTCATTCCTTGGTCTGTCAGGGTCATTGAGCTCGTCTCCTCTGCTCTTCTCTGCACTAAATCAATCTGTTTGTTCTGATGACTCAGACAACACCCTTTAGCCTGTTAGATCTCCTGGTGCTGCGTTCACAGGCTGTCCGACAAATCAGTGAGAGAACTGAGTTGGAACAAGACGTCCTTATTATGAAGATAGGTTTAATTGGTATAGAGATCACCCATTGACTTTTACTACAATTATTTGAACATCAATTACTTTAACACATTACTTGACTTAACGATTTAAAAGCCAGTCTGTTTGGAGTGACTAAAATATTGAATCCAAAGCCATAGGAGCAGTGAGGTTGCTGCATCTTGGCAAAGAGATTGTTGGTATTGTCCTCTGACTCACGTTGTCTGAATATACTCTGAAAAGCTCAAATGTTCTTACTTATAAAATTAATTTTATATTACCATCAAGGCTTTTAGTTAGGTCCTCATCTTACAAAATGTTTAGATATTGAGATTGTGCCTTTACACATTTACTTATTGGATTCTGTTTACAAGTTTGTAAACCAATAGATAATTAAAGATGTAAGCTACTGGAGTTTCACTCCAAACTCAAATTGGTCCAGCTATTGATACCTTGCAGCTGATGTTATCAACATTTCCTGGAGGTGTGAAGCTAATTGAAAGAACTACTTTGTTCAGATGTTGTTCAAGTTAGACTTGAATCTGAGCTTCATTTTAACACAATTTGACCAGAATTTTGACCAGACTTAGTTGGAACTATAACATGTGAGCTGATTTGTGCTGTTAAATGTTAAGTTGTTAAAAGTCCATCTGAAATAATGACCAGATTTTCAAAATTCAAAACTGGGACACACATGGGTTGGGATGGTTGATGTTAATAAAACTCTGAAAAGAGCACGTAGCATTGTCCATTTTCAACTCATTTGTGGGTCAGTCATAATCTGAGTTCTGTCTGTACCATTTTCATTTACAGTTTTCTGTGTTTTATCTTAACAAATGGCAATCTATACTCCTCTTTACTGTTGGTGGGTAACAAATTGGTCAAAAATACGGACATTTGTGACATTTCTTATATGGAGAAGTCTGGTGGGACGGGACACAGGGCTCAAAACTGGGACTGTCCCGGGTAAATATGGACGTCTGTTCACCCTAAGCTCTTAGCTACCCTTACAGGCTAGCTAGCAGTATCCAACAGTTTTTCAATTAGTCTCTCTCCCTTTAAAAAAAAAAAAAAATCAAAAACCTAAACCCATGAATGCTTGTGTTGATCACAAGCTCCTGAAAATGTGCTGTGTAAATCCATTTTGTATTTTTTCTTGAATCTTGAAACTTTTTTGTGTTTTCGAATATGTGTTGTGTTGTAATTGTTCATATTACGTTGTTCATTACAACATTGTTCATTACATTTATATTTATTTATTTACAGCATACTTGTTCATATATAGTATATCTTTTGCTCATTTATATATGTCATACATATTTATATTTTCTGTAGCACATCCTGTATATTTGTTCATAGTATATATTGTTTACATTACATCTGCTTATATATCCCCCATGTTTATTCTACCTAATTCCCTTCTGTTCATACTGCAATATTTATGTGTATATATTCACTACAATCTAAACAGTTATAAACTGTATATTGTCTATATTATATATATACTCTACATTCAGTATATATCACACGTGCTGCTCCTTGCACTTCTGATTAGATGCTAAACCACATTTTGTTACCTTGTATTTATACATGTGTAATAACAATAAAGTTGAATCTAATCTAATCTAATGAGTGCATTGTGCCGCCATGGCCACTGCTAACCATTCCACCAATAGAAATGCATATCAAACACCCCTAGAGCGATGTCAACATGTAACAGTAGATACATGGGTCTTTTGTTTGGTTTTAAAATGATTTTAGCCAATGTTACCTCTCTGGAGTTACAGAGAGTTTGCAACAAAAAATACATTTAATACTGTTCCACTGATAATGTTTGAACACTGTTGGTAACTAATGATTCCTTGGTCTAATATTTCTGTGTCAGGTCTGTGACTAAGTGGCCGTCATCAATTTTTAGTATTATTTTGCGTCCTAGTCTCATAATATAATTTCTCTCATTTCATTCTTATTTTTCAACAGCCTTCTCTTTTCCCCATCCAATTTCCTCCGCTCATTTGTTTCACCCGGTTCTTGCTTCCAACCATAACCTCCCCACATCTATCTCGTCCTGCAGATTCAACACTCTAATTCGCCGCCCTCTCTGTCTCTTTCTGTCACTCCCTCTCTCTTTCTACCACCTGTCTGCACAGCTCTCATTTACCCCCCTTATCTGCTTCTCCTGCCCCATCTTCTCCCCCTGTGCAGTCCTCATGCTATGACAGATTCCATCCCATTTTTGTCTGATAAAATCGGGCAGCCACTAACTAACCAATTTATTATTCACAGCCTGCTCACCACATTGCCTAGCGCCTGTCAACACCTTCTCTCTGCTATGTCTAATATGGGCCGTCTCCGCTGCGTTTTCCCCTCTGACATATTTTTTCTGTGCTTCCATTTTGCCAAGCTGTTTCGGTCTTGTAAAAGGTCTGTTGTGTAATGGTTAATAAATGATGAGATGGACTTTGGATGGCCAAAAGCATGTCAAGTGTGATGCCATGGACGGCTCTGGCCTGGTGCCTAATGCAGTGAACTTGTTGCTTTGCAGTTTAAGTACTGGTTCTGGTTCAGACATTTTACTAACTGAGATGATAATGGCTCCATTTTTCTTATAGGACAAGATATCTTTGACACAGCTTCATTAGTTTTCAGAGATAGGCACTATGTCTCGGTTATTATGATTAGCATAGATCTTGTATTGTGTGATGAAGAGATTATGGCTTCATTAGCGTGCCTAACTAAGCTTTTGCAGCTCAAGTGAGTGGTCAAATAATTTTACAAATGTCTTTTTTTTTTTTATTATAACTAATCGTGCTTATCATCATGGGTTCTTTATGTATACAATTTACTAACCCTGCAATTTAATGACGTGCATGTGATTACGATTATTAGTTTAATCTCCTCTCAGATATGAATTCCCCAGAATGTGTTTGAAATATGTGCTTTGAACTGAATCTTCAT